CTTGAATTTCTTCCTCTTTTTTATTTTTAGGTAAATTTCTTCGTCTTTATCCTCTCTCTTAATACCACAGCAATATTTTTTAATTTTTTATTTAGATTTTGTCGTTGAATTGTATAACTTGTAATTTGTGTAACTAAGGTAGTTGTTATGGATTGAGGATGAAATGAATTTATACTCGACACATATACCCTTTGCAATTCATTAAACATATGGATTTTATGACATTTCGTGTTCCTTCATTTGCAATAAGCTTTGTTAACTTCTATGACTTTAATTTGTAATAACATACTATTTATTATGTTTTTATTGCCCTAAATGATAGTTACAATTATGCTTCCATTATGCAGAGATGAAGAAGACTTGAATAAAAGTGTCTATTAACTTTCTTATAGAGTAATATACACTATTAATGTATTAGATTATCATTGTTTAAATCAAATAAGATAAGAGATTAGGGTATGATTGAATATAGAAAGCTAAGTAGGGATAATATAAGAAATTAAAAGTATTTCATGTCAAGATATTTTTATTAGTAATATAAATAAATATTGTTGACGTTTCTGAAGACAAATTGATACAATAACTTCTTGAAGAGACTGAGATTTGAAGGCTAATTGCAAAAGATATAATCTGTAAATGGTTGATTGGAGAAGAAACAAAATATTGGCTGGCAAGATATTTTAATGGAATCCTTTCAAAATTCAAATGGTCTTAATTTAGAAAATCACTTATCTAATGAAATAGAATAAAAAAAAATTGCCAAATCTTACATCAATTCAGTAAAAGGTAATTACGTATTAATAAAATATGTAAAATTAACAATATGTATTTGATCATCAAATATTTAAGAGACTCTATACTTGATGGCGTTGAAAAGTATGAACTACTGCCTTTAAGAGGATTAAGATGAAAAATTGAAAAGTGTACCCCCTAGATAATATATAGGAAAAATTGTGAAAATGTACATTTTATCTTACTTATTTGTGTAAAATTATCTCAATATAAAATATTTGTGTATAATACCTTTATGTGTAAATGTTTGGTAAAGAGGTATACTTTTGCTGAGTTGTAATTTTTTCTCATATGAAACTGCCTTTTTCCTTTATTAGTGGGAGATAAATATGACAGTTATATTAGGGATTCAGTTTCCTAAATTTATGGAATATCTTTTTAAATTTTAAATTATATCTTTCTCTTTCATTCAACTCAAATTATTCAAACTTTTATTTTAATTCAAACATTCATGTATTTTTCATATTTGTATAATTTTTTTTTTATAAATCGTAATAATCAAGATGATGATTCTGATTTGGAGGATAATTTGTTGTCTCGCACGATAATGTTACAATGCTTGTTTTTTTTAAAAATCATTACGGTCTCTTAATGTCAATCATGTTCATATGAGGATAAATGTCAATGATGATGAATCAAATAGGGATGATCGTAATAATCAAGATGATGATTCTGATTCGAATGATGATTTACTGCTTTACACGATAATGTTACAGTGCTACAAGACAATATTACAATGATATTAAAAAATGTCACAGTGTTACAAATCAAATTCACATTACTAGAAACCAATGTCACATTATTGCAAGTCAATGTCACACTGCATATATTGACATGACACATATCACAATGTATATAGCTTCTTTGATTTTTTTTTTTTTTTGGCAAATGATCGAACACTTGGCGTGCATGTAGTACCAAGCACTAAAATTAAAAAGGTAATTGAGGGAAATAAAATAAAATAAAAATGTTGAGAGAAACAATATTTTTTTTGAGTTATCAACTTCTTTTCCAAAAAATTCCACCTTTCATCCTTCTTCATCCTTCTGCCGCAGTCAATCCCATTCAAACCCTTATCTAAATTGTTCTCACCTAGATGGACCTTTTACTGAAATCACTTTGTACTTTAATGTAACTAAGAGATGTTAATGAATCGGATTTTAATCCATATCCAAGATCGTGTGATTGAGTTGGTTCTTCGTTACTAAAAAAATTTATAACCACTCTCATCCTTCTGCTACAAAGGTGAAGATTTGGATAGTGAAGTTTTGAAAAGATCCTTTCTTTAGCAACGATTAACAGAAAGTTTTGAACATAAAAAGGAGGTTTTATGAAAATTTTTGGAAAAATGAGATTTTCGGAGATATTGAAGGAATTTATATATAATTGTTGAGATCCCTTAAGTTTTGGTTGTGGAAGCAAAAATATAGGAATCAATTTTCCAATTTACTAAAAAGGGTATTTTAAAGATTTTTTAGGGGTTGTGTATTTTTTGACCTATATTTTTAAAAATAGTATTTTTTGCCCTATAATTTTTAAAAAAAGTATTGGCTCCCTTAAAACCCTAATATATATATATATATATATATATATATATATATATATATATATATATTCTTTTTTGTAAGGGGTTGGTTATGCGTTGGCCCCTTTTGTTTTGGTCAAGCATTTAGGCCTCTTGGAATGAAGTAAATATTCAAGATATTATCATGACTCACACACCTAAATAACACTTTTTTTTTTGTTGAGAAAAAAATAAAGGTGGGATAAGAAAGAGCGTCTAGTGACCATTTTAATAGACCCTCATCGATGAGATTATAAAACTCTTGATCGCGTTTCAAATGCCTCTCAAGATTAGATTTATTTAGACCAGTATAATAGTCAATTATCAAATTTTAATGGAGAATAATATTCAAATTTTTAATCTCAAGACGACGAATAAGATGGATGGCTCACTAGACTACCTTCTTTTGGACACACCTACCTAACATTTGGGAGAAACCTAATTGGTAAGAAAGTCGTACAAGTCCAAGGTCATGACTTAAAAATATTATTTGTGATGCAAGAACAGGGATGTCCTCCTATGCTCACCAAAATTTATTTTTGAAGTGACATCATGGTACAATTCTCACCAACAACTAATGAATCACATTAATATCTAACTACTGTACGTCATTTATGATCACATTAATTTTAACTGCTGTCATCACCTTTGTTTAAACAGTCTGAAATTAAATTTATTATTTAATTTTTCTAAAAATTTTCACACTCTGCGCCTTGGCATATTTTAATTTTTTTATTTTATATCATCAAAAATTAAATTTTTCATGTTACATTATTGATGTATCAAAAGTGTTATAATGTAGTCTTGCTGTTAACTTTCGTTATTTTTTCTCTTTTAGTATCAATTGATTGATTTTTGAAGAAAAAAATAACGAAAATTAACAGAAGGATCACGCTATAATATTTTTGATACATTGATGATATAATATAAAAAATTTAATCTTTGAGAATATAAAATAAAAAAAATTAAAATCTTTCGGGTGCAAAAAATAATGAGGTGAATGATTAAATAAAATTTGTTCAAAAAAGAAAAAGATTAAACAAAAACTTAAGTAATTTTGTTCAAGTGTAGAGTGTATACAGCCATTCCACATTGACAAAGTTGGAGAAATCCTCAGTTGCAGATTCCTATAAAAAGGATTGAGCACTCCCACTTCGATTTGTAAAATTTCAAGACGGAAGAAACCTTCGCTCACTTCGTTAATGGCTACATCTCTTAGACCTCTTCATTTCCTGATATTTGTTCATATATCCGTAAACCTCTTGGCCATAGCTCAAGATGAAAACCAGTTCATCTACCATGGCTTCCGTCAAGCCAAACTGTATCTTGATGGGCTCGCTCAAATCCGTCCCAATGGCCTATTGGCTATAACCAACACTTCGGAGCAAGGTACAGGCCATGCTTTCTACCAAATTCCTGTGAAATTTAACAACTCCTCACCTGGATCAACTCAGTCTCTTTCATTTTCTACCTATTTTGTCTTCGCCATAGTTCCTAAATTGGGACTCCCAAACGACCACGGCTTTGCCTTCACCATCTCACCATCTCTGACCTTCACCAGGGGAGGCATGATACACCAGTTTATGGGCCTTTTCAATTCTTCAAACAACGGACTCACCTCCAACCATGTACTTGCAGTTGAGTTTGATACTATCAAGGACCCTGATTTTGAAGATATAGACGGCAATCATGTGGGAATTGATGTGAACAGCCTCAAATCAGTTGCATCGGCTTCGACGTCATATTTTTCCAATACAGAAGGGATCAAAAAGAGTTTCAATCTTGCGAGTAAAACCCCAACACAGGTTTGGATAGATTATGATGGAGTGAAGAAGATTATCATCGTTACATTGGCTCCCATCAGAATTGCGAAACCAAATCACCCTCTCTTGAATGTGTCCATTGATCTTTCTCCAGTTTTCTTGGACCATATGTATGTTGGTTTCTCTGCAGCTGCAGGAACCGTTGAGATAAGCAACCACTACATTCTGGGGTGGAGCTTCAACAAAACTGGGCCAGCACAAAGCCTAGAACTATCAAAACTTCCTTCAGTTCCCTGGCCCAGAAAATCCAAAAGAAAATTACATCGAGATGTAACAATCTCAGCCACAACAGTTCTGGCGGTGCTGATCATCACAATGGGTGGGATTGCTTGCATAAAACAGAGAAGAAAATATGCAGAAATACGAGAGGATTGGGAAGTGGAATATGGACCTCAGAGATTCTCCTATAAGGATCTTTTCAAAGCAACCAAAGGGTTCAACCACAGAGAGCTTCTAGGAACAGGAGGTTTTGGACAGGTTTTTAGAGGAATACTGTCTTCTTCCAATGCTCAAGTCGCAGTGAAGAGAGTCTCCCATGACTCAAATCAGGGGATGAGGGAATTTGTGGCTGAAATTGCCAGCATGGGAAGCCTCAGGCACAGGAACTTGGTGGCTCTCCACGGCTACTGCCGGAGAAAGGAGGAGCTTCTCTTGGTCTATGATTATATGCCCTATGGAAGTCTTGACCAGTTTTTGCACAGCAATGAGAAACCAAGCCTGAACTGGGCACAACGATATCAAATCCTCAGAGGAATAGCATCAGGCCTTCTGTATTTGCATGAAGGGTGGGAAAAAGTCGTTCTTCACAGAGATGTAAAGGCCAGTAATGTCCTACTCGATGTTGATTTTAATGGGCGGCTAGGAGACTTTGGGCTTGCTAGATTGTATGATCATGGTGAAAATCCTAAAACAACCCATGTGGTTGGAACTTATGGGTATATTGCACCAGAGCTTGCTAGAACTGGTAAGGCAACTACTAGCACTGATGTCTTTGCTTTCGGGGTTTTTATGCTCGAAGTGGCTTGCGGACTAAGGCCTCTAAAGGTACAGGGATTTGATGATAAAATTCTGGTTCAGTGGCTTATGGAGAAATGGAAAGAAGGAGCAATCCTTGAGGCAAGTGATCCCAGATTGGGAGGTGATTTTACGGTTGAAGAAATGGAGTTGGTTTTGAAGTTGGGCCTATTTTGCTCGCAATATAATCCAGTATGCAGGCCTAGCATGAGGCAAGTGATGCAATATTTGGATGGAGATGCCATCTTGCCGGAAGTATTTATGGATGCTGCAGGTGTTGGCATGGCTGGATTAGTGGGGAATGAAATGTCAATTGAATTGGCAACGACATTTCCTTCTTCATTGTTGGAGAATATGTCTTTTAGTGCCCTATCTGATACAGAGTCACTCCTTTACGTGGGACGTTAGAATTGAAAAAGTTTTATGGTTAAGATATGTTGGATGATGGTTTCATTGTGTTTCGGGAACAACTACAACTTGTTGATATTCAAGGTAGATTTTGAAATATTGAGGCAGTGTTGGAAATCTATAGCATTTCACACAAAATAATCCCTCCTCTGGAAAGTGTCATCTTTATTACAATTGGTATTGTGTTTGTCAATTCTTCAATAGCATCAGTTGACCATACATGAATGGAGAATTATGCAGATTTACCAACTATACGGACAAATAATATAACACATTATGTTGTGTACGAGTTAAGATTTCTTGGATTCTATTTTTTATTTTGTGCTTACTACTTAGTCTGTCAGGCTAAGTGATTATACATTTTTTTTTTTTAATTTTTTTTAGGGGGAAGGGGGACTTGAACCTTTGATCTTAACAAAATAAAATTTTTACAAGATAAGGAGTACCATTGGACAAAAGACCCACCAGTAAGACTAAGTGATTATATAAAATGATTATATTTTATATAACAGAAAGGTTTTTTTAAAGCATCTATTTGGGAATTGTTTTTTATGCTTAGTGGACATCTTTGAACTTTTTTCTAAATTTCTTCTTTGGATAAAGTTTTTACCTATCGAACTAAAATAGAACACACCAGAGAGTGAGAGCACAACCACTCTGCGATGGATAGCTTTGATCATATGCAGCTCCTCGCCATCACCAAACAAAAGGAATGGACAGGAGTACTGTAAGACTGGTTATTATAAAGAAGACTATGGTACCCAAATTTTTTTTTCAATATAGTACGTCACATTTTAACAAATTTTGTGAGTGTTTTTATTATTTTTGTCTGTGTTTTTACAATAATTTTTTTTTTGACTTTTTGTGGCTGATTTATAACTTTTGTGGATATTTTTACAATTTTTGAGGATAATTTATTACTTTTTGTGATAACTTGTGACGGATCCTAACATTTTAGTATCCAGATTCCGAGGTTGGGGTTGGTCCTCGTTCGAGATTGGGTCTAATTCTATGGTCCGGGTGCACGTCAAGGTCTGGGTGAGCGTCAAGGTCCGATCTAGGGTCGAAGTCAGGGTTGGGTCCAGGATCAGAGTTGGGTATATTAGTGAGTGTATGTGTGTGTTTTATTGTATTAGTGTGTGTATGTGTTTTACCGTATTAATGTGTGTATATTATGGTATACTAATATTAGTGTGTGTATGTGTATTTTGATGTACTAGTGTACTTGAGTTTTTAGAGAATTTTTATGCAAATCCCTTGAGATTTGTCACTTAATTACTCAGATCCACTGATATTTGAAATATAACACACAAACTTTTGAATTTGTACACATGTAACACATAGACCTCTGCCGTCAAGTCCATTAGTATATTCGTTGGTAAATTATACCCAAATCTCTTAAACCCTTCAAATTTAAAATGTTATACGTTGACAAAAAATATCTCAATCAAAAATAAAATATCAAATATTTTAAATTTTACAACCAAAATTCATGTTCTATTGTATCATTTATTGAAATAAAATCAAAAATAAAAATATATTTTTTTCTTAAAAAATCATAATTATTAAACAATTATACTATATATTGGAACAAAACTAAAACATAAAACAAGGAATTTAAGTCATTCATAATAGAACATGAATTTTGCAACCAAAATTTATGTTCTATTATGTCATTTATTGAAATAAAATAAAAAATAAAAATCTAATTTTTTTCTTAAAAAATTATAATTAGTATATAATTATTCTATCTATTGGAATAAAATTAAAAAAAAAATCAAACAATAGGTCAAACTATAATGAATTTAATATCTTTTAGTTGTAATTGGAGTAATTTAGTAGTTTAATTTTGTATACCCCCACATGGTTATCTTAATTTAGTGATGTAATTATTTTATAATGCACATATATGTAATGACGTAAGAACGAACCATATAATTTTAAGAGTAGAAATAAAAACTTTGAGAGAGGTAATAAGAGTTATATTAGAAGTTAGGAAGTATTTCGGAGTTAAAACACAATTAAGAGAGAATTCGGGGTAGGAAGAAATTTGACACTATCTTATTATTTAGATCATAAATTTTTATGCTGATGTCCGATTGATTTGAAATTTTTACAGTAGATACTAGACTTCTAGGTCAAGAAAATTTCCTAAATCAACTTCTAAGCAAGCCAAAAATTCCTAAGAACTTCAGATAAAAACTTGGAGTTCGTTCGAACGTGAATGGATCTGTTCGAATGACAGTTAGTCCCAATACTTTTGTGTCTGATAGAAACTCTAATAGAAAAGCAAAAGTACTCGGAGCAAACAACATTCAAATGCCCAATATTACGTTTGAACGTCATGTAGATAGTTTGAATGTCAAGCCTCTAGTTTGAACATATTGTCGCGATTTTGAATATCAGGTCTGTGTCGATTAGACTGTTTTCTCATACTTTAAATACCTAAGGACATCTTCCCTAGTCCTATTTCATCTGTTCTTAACCCTAGAGAGCCTTAGAGAGTAAGAGAGAAGAGAAAAAAATACAAGATTGAAGGCAGATTTTCACGCTGGAATGGATTAAACACGCTAGGTTTACACATAAACTACGAAACGAAAGTAGGGGATTCTTCTTTAGTTCTTTCATTGAGACTTTGGGTATTATATATGTATGTTTTCAATCTTCTTGATAAATGTATGATAAATACTTATGAGTTCTTGTTTTCTTTATCATTGAAATGTACTCTTGAACGAAATACATGTTTAGGTTCAAGGAATACTTGTTCTTGAATTTCTAAAACCCTAGTTTACTAAATACATGCTCGATTGTGAAAAAAATACATGGATTATTGATTTCTAAATTCCTATTCTTATTAAATCATGTTTTCATCTAATACTTGTTTTGTTCCCAAGAAATTATGGTTTTTGGTAAAACCCTAGAATTTGGATGTCGAAATTATAAAGGTTTTCTTGATATGATCTGTTGCATATTTTAATTCTTTTATTACTATAGTATATTGAGAATTGTCCAATTATGATACGTGAATTGTTAATGGATATTGTGATTTGTTAATATTGTGGCTGTTGAGAAAATTGTGGTTTCCTCTCTCGTATAATATGGGTGTGACAGACATGAATAACCTTCAAGAGCTGCTGTAGAATTTTAGAGGTTAGTATATCCTAGTGGGGGTGAGATGGTTGCCTAACACTTGTAGTGAATTGTTGGTTGTGAGAGCAGCCACTCTTGTTCAAGTAGGTTCAAGGTTGAGAGATAATATTTTTCTTGGGAAGGATTCGTCAATGCTGTAGGAGATGGTATACGCCCTTCTTAAAGTGGTTTGTGTTGTGCCTTACGGTTAATGATTGAGATTGTTTGGTTTGTTGTGGGTAAACGAGGTAGAATCGTTGTGTAAATTCTTGAGAAGTAACCAATATACACGAGAATATGAGATGATGTTACTGTGTTATTTACTGAATGTTTTACTTTCTTGTTTGTTTATTCCTGTCATTGATTTACTGTATCTCGTACACTTGAGATCATTACAACTGTTATGGTTTTACACTCAAAAATTTATATTTGCTATTTTCCAAAAGAGAGACTTGCCTTCTTTTTATTGTTTTAAAAACTTGTTGGGATTTGAGAGAGATTTCCTACGGGCTTTTGCTTACCCTCTACAACACACTTACAAATTTTGACATAGAAAAACATGTCAATGTGGATGAGTAGGTTGATTATGAGCTGTTGGAGAATCAAGATGTGAACCCTGTCTCAGTGGAATAGAGTTGTTTTATTTTTGGTTTAGTGTTTGAGAGATTTTTTTGAAACAATATTTCAGTTAGTTTAATTATTCCGCTACTAGATACTATTTGGTTTTGAATTGTAAGTTAGAAAAAGTTACAATGTTTTATTGGTTTTAGTATTTATTCTTTGTTAGATAGATGAATGGTTTATTATTTAATGGTTATTGTAGTTGGTCTAATAATTGAATAGTTTTTAGATAGGAATGTTTTCCAGAGTGAATTTTGGGGTGTTACAAATTTGGTTATTTAAACAACTAAATTAAATTCTAATAAATAGTATAATTGTACACTAATTATGAATTTTTAAGAAAAAAAATTAGATTTTTATTTTGATTTTATTTCAATAATATTGTAATAGAACATGAATTTTGGTTATAAAATTTAAAATATTTGATATTTTATTTTTGATTGGAGTATTTTTTGTCTAAGTATAACTTGTTAAACTTAAGGGCTCTAAGTATTACATATTTATAAGTTTCAGGGGGTCTGGGTGCAATTTATTATATACTAATGGACGTTGACGACATGGACCTAAGTGTTATGTGTGTACAAATCTCAAGGGGTTTGTGTGTAATATTTTAAATGTCAGGGGGTTTGAATGATTAAGTGACAAACCTCAAGGGGTTGGGTCCTAGTTCGACATGGGTCTAAGTCCGGGGCCATGGTCATGGTTTGGTCCGGGTGTGAGTCAAGTTCTGATCTAGGTTCGAAGTTGGGGTTGGGGTTGGGGTTGGGTCCGAGATCAGAGTCGGGTATATTAGTGAGTGTGTGTGTGTGTTTTAGTGTATTAGTGTGTGTATGTGTTTTTGCATATTAATGTGTATATATTATGGTATACTAATATTAGTGTGTGTATTTGTATTTTGATGCACTAGTGTTGGGCAAAAATTTGAATAGTTTGTCGAACATGACTTCACTCATATAATGAAGAATTATACGAGTTTTAATAAATGTAGGTTAGACCCATTCTGAATAGTATATATCTGTTATTTATAATCTCTTGTTTCAAGAGAACACCCTTTGATTCTAACGAGAAATTATTACACGTTACCATTTACACCATAAGAGCATTTTATTTGTGATGTGGCTGGATCTAGGTTAATTGCCTAGGCTGCTCTATGTACCCGTTATCGGGATCAAGCCGATTCGTAGTTCTGGGGAAGAATTTGGAAGTTATTTGAAGTTGATTTGGACTTGCGACTGCGTCTAATTTAACTAGACTGCCTACGTATTCAAAAATGAAATCAAGTCAACTGTAGTTCATACGAATTTGGAATTTATTTGAGTGAGATTTTAAATGAGTGAATGACTCATTTAATTTAGAACTTTATTTGAGTTGAGTTGAAATGAGTAAATGACCCATTATTCTTTGGTATGGACTTGAGTTGTATTTAAAACGACTCTGACTTACGGGAATTTTAGGATTCACATAGGTTGTGACTTGATGGAATTACGTGAATGTTAGGATTCACATAGGTTGTGACTTGATGGAATTAAATTCCGTATAAAATTAGTGACTTTTTGTGAGTTATAAACTCACAAATCTATTTTAAAGTCCAAGACTCTTTTCATAAAGATCATTAAAGAGTTTTAAACCCGCAAAATTAGTAAAGAGTTAGAAACTCTTTAATTTAATATTTGCACTATTTAATTTGTAGGAGTTTAAAATTCCAAAAATAGTGACAGATTTAAATGGTCAAATTATTGTTACACTTGCCAGATTTTTCAACCCACTTTTGCCAACATATGGGACCAGGCATTCTAGCCAAGTAGGAATTGAGATCATTCTCTTCTGTAATATCCTTTAAGGGATTCTGGCGATGATGTCCCTCATGTTGGGGATCATCTTGGGCTAGTTATGCCCTCTAGAGATTCTGAGGGCAGATAAGAGTTAATAGATCCTCATTTTACTTGAGGAGATGCTCATTGGCTTGACACAACACTTCTAGTTCGTTGTTTGGAGAGGGATTTGCCATTGGCAAATTGTCTTCTGCATTTAGCAAAGGGTTTGCTAGAATTCTCAACTCTCCCACGGCATTGGCCTCTTGCTGGTTTTGCAAACGTAGTAGATTTTCCTAAGTTTTGTTCATGTTGTGTGTAAAGACTATCAATTATTGAATGGATCAATAGAATTTTAGTAGGAATCGAAAACAATCATTTTCACAGACAGCGTCAAACTGATGGTGTAATTTACGTGATTGTGTAGCACAGCTTGGGACTCAAAAAGTGGCAAAAAGCGGCAAAATTCCTCAAATGCCAGATTTTTCGTCTTCGGCGCGTCAAAATTAAAAGAACGCAAGCTTTTGTTGATTCCGCCATTTGAGGAATTTTGGGCAGATGACTTCCAACAATGACAAGATTTGGGTAATGTTTGTTGCATTTTTTTTTTCTGGTTTGTGTGTACATGTTCACATCGAGATATATATATATATATATATTTTAGGAGTTAAAAGCTCCGAACTTTTTAGGAGTTTAAACTCCGGTGCTTCCCTCTTTCCTTTAAGAAATAGAGTTAGAAACTCTTTTAAGAAGTGGAGTTAAAAAACTCCTTTTATTCATTAATTTTTGAAGAGCCAAAGACTCTTAATTGCTGTAAATTTTTTCAAGAATTAAAAATTCCATTGCTGTTTTAAAATGGTCTTGGAAAAACCAAAGCATCATTTTTTTTAAAATGGTCTTTGAATGACCAAAACATAAATTTTTTTTTTCTAAAATGGTCATTGAAAGACCAAAGCAATTTTTTTTTAAAATGGTCTTTGAAAGACCAAAACAGAATTTGTTTTAAAATGACATTTGAAAGACCAAAGCTGAATTTTTTAACAATGATCTTTTAAAAACCAAAGCAAATTTTTTTTAAAATGGTCTTTGAAAGAACGAAACAAATTTTTTTTTTTTTTTAAATGATCTTTGAGATATCAAAGCAGAATATTTTTTAAATGGTCTTTCAAAGACTAAAACAGAATTTTTTTTTTTTTTAAATAGTCTTTGAATGACCAAAATAGATTTTTTTTTTAAAATGGTATTTGAAAGACCAAAACAAAATTTTTTAATAGTCTTTGAAAGACCAAAACATATTTTTTTTAAAAAAAATTGGACTTTTGAAAGAATCCTGTTGTTTCAAACAAACTCTAAAAGGACTAACACCTGTTGCCCCATGAAACATCACTGGGTGAAGACTGGCTATTATTTTTAGAAATGGTTAAGGGACTTGAAGCTCTTGCCGATTCCATAGTAGATCTTTTAAAGACTTAATTGGTCCTTCTAGTTTATGCAACTCTTGTGGAAGTTGCCGCGCACGGAGTCGAAACCTTCGTTACTCGGCCTCCGGGTTGTAGGAGTTGAAAAATTCTGTTGAGGGAAAACTTCGGAGTGAATGGGTCACTGCAATTGGTCTGATCCGCTGCGATTATTGCCCAGATCGCTACAAACATACCATGAGCAGATTAAATCCAAGAGAGAAGAAAAGAAACCCAGGTTGATAACTGGTCAAAAGTTGCAAATTTTTTTTTGTTGTAGGCCACCTTGTTCTCCAAACTTTTTTCTTCTTCCTTTGCTTTTTGTTTTAACCGTCTGAACTCCTCCAGATTTCTCCACCTTCATGATCTCAAGAGCAAGTGTATTTATAATAGCCTTTTGCATGCAAAAAGAGGGGGCAGCTGACAATCTTTTAGGAACCCCACCTTGTCCACTTCCTCTTAATTGATGTAGTGGGGAGTTTGGGAACTGCCCAACCGTTAAATTCTCGGCTTTTCATTTTTTTTTTTAACAATATATAGTTTTTTTAAAAAAAAAATTCATAAGGATGAATTTTAATGGGTCAAATTGGAATATGAATTTTAACAATTGAGGTTGACGGGTCAAGTTAACGATTAATAATTCTACGGAATCATGCGTCGAACATGAACCCATCATTGACCTCTTAAAATAAAATTTAGCATTGAAAGTTGACGAGTACTGAATTTTTTTCGTTTAACAGTTGCCCCTCGAGTGTCGTATGTGAATTTCAAAATCACGTATGACACTCGAAAAATAGATTATCTCCATGATATTTATAGGTATTTCAAAATCCCTTTTTTTATTTGAATTTTAACATTCAAATAATTCACCTACTTTGGTTATAGGTTTATACCGAGTAGGAGACCTTATCTAATATAATCTCTACCTTGGCCAACAGATAGATTTCACTTCTCCTTCATTGAACGTGACTTGCTTCCCAAAATCATTCAGGTAACCCTTTCCTCACTTCAATGAATTTTTTTTTTTTTGATTTGTTACAAGATTCCAACTATTGAGGTCTTTCAAAAGACCTGCTCTATCAATGGTCCTTATAGATTTTTTTTTTTTAGAACCTAATAAACCAATTTTCCTTTCACAATAGGTATTTCAACGACCTGATTTTTTTTGGAAAATTAGTAAGTTAGTTCTTTTCATCATAGGTCTTTTCAAGACCAAAATTTCTTTGAAGATAAACAAATAGGTCTTTCCAATACCTAACCGGAATTTTCTGAGGTGGGATGCAATTTTGCACGTGTACGTACACCTAACACATTTTTTTTTGGCTAAACATGTTGATGAGTTTTGTTTTTTCTTGCCGAAAATCAAAACCTCATTTTTTTTCCCGAAAGAAATCAAATCTTCATGTTTGTGCCGAAACATGTGTTTGTTTTTATTATCACATGTTGATGCTTCATGGAGATGCCTTTTTGTTTGAATTCCAAGCCCCCCACCGCCCTTCTTTTCTTTTGTGTCTTCTAGACGTATTTTTTAATGTGGTCCTTCAAAGACCAGCAAAAATATTTTTTTATGATCTTTTAATGACCGAATTTTTTTATGGTTTCTTTGAGTCTTGAGAATCAACAACTAAAAAGCTCACTGTTTTTTTAATTGGTCTTTGAAAGACCAATGTGATATATCTTTACTCATCATCATTTTTTTGTGGTCTTTGAAAGACCAGTGGAATAGCATTAAGCCTCCTTTTTTCTTTATGGTCTTTTAAAGATCAATGGAGCATTTTTATATGGTCTTTTAAAGACGGAAGAGTTGACACCGTCTATGAAGCCATATATATATATATATATATAGTATGTACACCAATTTGAAAATTTAATTCTTTTGTCCATTTTTTTATGCAGACTGATTCAATGGATGTTTATAGTGAAACAATTTGTGACCACAATATAGGAGATCATTCCCATTGAAGAATTTGAAAATCAACATCCCTTGCAAAGATCCCATAAGCTGGATTCAAAAGATAGAGACTCTCACAGGCTGGTTTACATTTGACTCTCAAAGGGAGGATATCACAATTGATGTCTGCAAAAATTATGGACCTTTGTATAAAATCACGATGTTTGAGAAAGTGGATGGCAAAGGTCATGAGGACAGTAAGATACCGAATGACAAAAATTTTATCCAGCATTTAAGTTCGAGGTCAGCAACCGTGGATCACAAACTCTCAGAGAAATCATCAAAGCTAGTGCCAATGAAGGCCGTCCGATCACTTTTTTGCCTCCTCCTCCCTTGGGCTGCAAAGGTGGCACGTGAGTTTCACATCCCAGCTGCACTTCTTTGGATTCAATCAGCCACAGTTTTGGATATATACTACTATTACTTTAATGGCAGCTTTGATATCAATGTCGAAAATTGCAAAGACCCGTCATGGTCTATTGAGCTACAAGGACTGCCATTGGTAAAAGGCCATGACCCTCCCTCCTTTATACTTCCAGCAAACTCAGAAAAATTCAATCATCTTCAATCATTTAAGAGCAGGTTGAAACACTAGAGGAAGAAACCAATCCAATAGTTCTTGTTAGCTCTTTCAATGCACTAGAACCAGAGGCCTTAAAAGCCATCGATAAGTACAATTTGATTGGGATTGGGCTGCTAATTCCTTCTGCCTTCTTGGATTGAAAAATACCCATCCGACATTTCTTTTGGGGGTGATCTTTTTGACAAATAAAACACATATACCGAGTGGTTGAACTCGAAGCCTAAATCATCGGTTGTTTACGTATCGTTTGGAAGCATTTTGTGTCTACCAAAGAGGCAAATGGAAGAGATCGCCCGAGGGTTGTTAGACAGTTGCAGGCCATTTTTGTGGGTAGTTAGAGCAAAGGAGAATGGAGAAGATGAGATATAAGAAGATAAACTAAGTTGCATGGAGGAATTGGAGCAACAAGGGATGGTAGTGCCATGGTGTTCTCAATTGGAGGTATTATCACACCCTTCACTAGGGTGTTTTGTCACACACTGTGGGTGGAATTCTACATTGGAGAGCTTGGTTACCGGGGAGGAAACACCAATGTAGTTTGGTTACCGGGGAGGAAACGCCAATGTAGAATGTAGAATTCCACCCACAGTGTGTGACAAAACACCCTAGTGAAGGGTGTGATAATACCTCCAATTGAGAAAACCATGGCACTACCATCCCTTGTTGCTCCAATTCCTCCATGAAACTTAGTTTATCTTCTTGTATCTCGTCTTTTCCATTCTCCTTGGCTCTAACTACCCACAAAAATGGCCTGCAATTGTCTAACAACCGTCGGGTGATCTCTTCCATTTGCCTCTTTGGTAGACACAAAATGCTTCCAAATGATACGTAAACAACCAATGATTTAGGCTTCGAGTTCAACCACTCGATATATGTGTTTGATTTTCAAAAAGATCACCCCCAAAAGAAATGTCGGATGGGTATTTTCCATCTAAGAAGGCAGAAGGAATTAGCGGCCCAATCCCAATCAAAATGTACTTATCGATGGCTTTTAAGGCCTCTGGTTCTAGTGCATCGAAAGAGTTAACAAGAACTATTGGATTGGTTTCTTCCTCTAGTGTTTCAACCTGCTCTTTAAATGATTGAAGATGATTGAATTTTTCTGAGTTTGTAGGAAGTATAAAGGAGGGAAGGTCATGGCTTTTTACCAATGGCAGTCCTTGTAGCTCAATAGACCATGATGTGTCTTTGCAATTTTCGACATTGATATCAAAATTGCCATTAAAGTAATAGTAGTATATATCCAAAACTGTGGAAAGAAGTGCAATTGGGATGTGAAACTCACACACCACCTCTGCAGCCCAAGGGAGGAGGAGGCTGTAGACCAAAAAAGTGATCGGATGGCCTTCGTTGGCACTAGCTTTGATGATTTCTCTGAGAGTTTGTGATCCACGGTTCTTGACCTCTGACGTGTATTTCTTGAGAAAGTGGATGCCAAAGGGCAACCCAACGTAGTTTGATTTTTTTTCTCTTTTGTTTTTTGGTTGGGTTACGCCTAGTTGAACTAGACTGTTTATGTGCCCTTTACACGATCAAACCAACGTAATTCAAATTTTATTAATTTTTATTTTATTTTGGTGGCTATGCCTAATTGAACTAGACTGCCTACGTACCCTTTGCGGGATCAAGCCAACGTAGTTCAATGTTTTTTGATTTTTTATTTTTAGGTGGCTGTACCTAGTTGAACTAGACTACTTACGTACCCGTTGCGGGATCAAGCCAACGTAGTTCAATTTGTTTCTCTCTCTATTTTTTTTTGTGGTGGTTGCGCCTAGTTGAACTAGACTGCCTATATACCCTTTATGAGATCAAGCCAACGTAGTTCAAATTTTATTAATTTTTTTTATTTTGGTGGTTGCGCCTAGTTCAACTAGATTGCCTACGTGACCTTCGCGGGATCAAACCAACATAGTTCAATTTTTTTTTAGTGGTTATCTTTTTTTGTTTTTGGGGTGGCGGTGCCTAGTTGAACTAGACTGCCTACGTACCCTTCGCGGGATCAAGCTAACGTAGTTCAATTTTGATTTTATTTTATTTTATTTTTGGTGGCTGTGCCTAGTTAAACTAGACTGCCTACGTACCCTTCGCGGGATCAAGCCAACGTAGTTCAATGTTTTTTATTGTTTATTTTTTTTCTGGTCGTGGTTGCGCCTAGTGAAACTAGACTACCTACGTACTCTTCACGGGATCAAGCCAACGCAGTTCATTTTTTTTTTTCTTTTTCTTTTGGTGGTTGCGCCTAGTTGAACTAGATTGCCTACGTACCCTTCGCTGGATCAAGCCAACGTAGTTCAATTTTTTTTATTTTTTTCTTTAAGCATAAAACTTTTTAATGAACTTCTCATTCACACAGGGGGTATGTGCACTTCCCTTCAAAATTGGAAAGCTCATAAGCTCCTTTGGGAAAAAACTTTAGTGATGACATATGGTCTTTCCCACTTTGGTTCAAACTTTCCTTTCATCCTTCCCGCTATAAAAAATGGTCGTCTTATGGTCAAAACCAAATCACCAACCGTGAAGGATCGAAATTTGACATTTTTATTAAAGGCACCTGCCACTTGGGCTTGGTAGATTTCAAGTCTTTGTTGGGCATCAAGCCTTTCTTCATCTAATGCTTCTAGCTCAGCTAATCTTATTTTTGTATTTTCTTCTGGATTTGTGAGGTGAGCAGCTACTCTTAGAGATGGAAATTGCACTTCAAGTGGGAGCACTGCTTCCGAGCCATAGACGAGTCTATATGGGGTACAACCCGTAGAAGTATGAATTGTTGTCCTGTATGCCCATAAAGCTTCTAGTAGTCTATCATGCCAATCTCTTTTGTTTTTGGAAACCATCTTCTTAAAAATTTTGCATAGCACCTTATTAAAAGCTTCGGCTTGTCCATTAGTTGATGGGTTGTAGCTTGTAGAACGCCCATGTCGAAACTTGTATTTTTCAATCAATTTCCACATGGATTGATTTTTGATATACAAGGCATTATTAGAGATGATCTTTGATGGAACCCCATAACGATAAATTATGTGGTTCTTAATAAAACTTACAACATCCAATGCCCTTACTTCTTTTAACGGTACAACCTCAGCCCACTTGGAGAAATAATCTGTTCCCGCTAAAATGTATTGATGAGAACGTGAAGATGGGGGCTTAAAAGGGCCAATTACATCCAGACCCCAAGTCTCAAAAGGCCATGACAACATAGTCGAATGGAGTAATTGAGGAGGTTGATGTATAAAATCTGCATGTAGCTGACAAACTTTGCAATTATTTGCAAATTTCATTGAATCTTGTACCATGGTTGGCCAGTAATAGCACAATTGCTTTAACTGTGTGGCGAATTTAGGTCCAGCTTGGTGCGCACCGCAAGTACCAGCATGAGTTTCATACAAAGCATTCGATGCCTCTTCTTTTAACAGGCACCTAAGAAGGATCCCTTCAATTGATCTTCTATATAGGGTGTCGTTTAGGTACACAAAACGAAGGGGTCTTCGTCTTAAATCAACCTTTCTCTTTGGATTAGACGGTAGTCTACCATGTAGGAAATACTCAATGAAAGGTTGCCGCCAATCTGGATCTTCTTCAATTTCACAAACAGTTACTATGTTTGTGTTTTCTGTTGCTTCCATACGGTCAAGTGCTGGAGGTAGTAAATAAGGTTCCCCAACTGTGACTTGGATGTCCCTTTGCTTAGGAAGAGTTAGAGACGCAGCTAAATTAGTTAGTGCGTCTGTTTTGTCATTTTTTGACCTAGGCACATGATTAATCTTGATGTCTTGGAATTTAGACATTAAGTATTTACCTTTTTTATAGTAAAATACCAAATTTTCATTTTTCACTTCATACTGATCGTTTAATTGTTTGACAATTAATTGAGAATCGCCAAACACTTGCAAACAATCAATATGCATTTCAAGTGCAATTTCTAGGCCAATGATCAATGCTTCATACTCAGTTGTGTTATTTGAGCATAGCCAATAACGAGAATGAATATGGAATTAATCCTCCAGAAGGTGTCACCAACACAATGCCTGCCCCATCAAAATAAAGCTGTCATGATGATGTTTCAATGGACAAAACATCATCGTCGGGAAAATCATCAAGTAACTGCATGTTGTCAGGAACAGGATGAGCTACTAAGAAATCTGCAAGTGCTTGCCCTTTTATTGCCTTTTGAGGTACATACATAATGTCAAACTCTGTTAACAGTACAGACCAACGGGCAACTCTTCCTGACAAGAATGGTTTGGACATCAAGTACTTTAAAGGATCAGCCTTTGATATCAGCCGTATAGGATGAGAAAGTAAATAATGCCGTAATTTGTGCACTGAAAAAATTAATGCCAGACACATTTTCTCCATAGGGGAGTAGTTGTGTTCTACTCCCACAAGCATCCTACTAAGGTAGTACAAGGTATTTTCTTTTCCATCATCATTGTTTTGAGCTAGCATTGCCCCTACAGAGCGTTCAAGTGCCACAATGTACAAATTAGGGGCATTCCTTTTATAGGAGCCATTAACACAGGAGGTTTTGATAAATACTCCTTAATGCTTTCAAAAGCATTCTGACATGCTTGATCCCATACAATAGGTACATCTTTTTTCATTAGCCTTGAGAAAGGTTGACATCTTCCCAACAAATTTGAGATAAACCTCCTTATGTAGGTCGACTTTCCTTGTAAACTGCGTAACTCGTGTAACTTACGAGGAGCAGGCATTTCTGTGATTGATTTTATTTTGGTGGGATCAATTTCAATACCTCGGTGTCTGAAGATGAAACCAAGGAACTTTCTAGAAGTTACCCCAAACGTACATTTTAAGGGATTCATTTTGAGTTGATTCTTTCTGAGTCTATCAAAGACTCTTTTGAGGTCACTCAAATGGTACTCCCTTTTTCTAGTTTTAACAACCAAATCGTCTAAATAACATTCAACTGTGTTGTGGAGCAAATCTTTGAAAATGATTGTCATGGCTCTTTGGTAAGTGACACCTGCATTTTTCAATCCCAATGGCATGATTGTGTAACAGTAAATTCCTTTTGAAGTATGGAATGCCATGAGTTCCTTGTCTTCAGGCTCCATTTTTATTTGGTTATAACCTGAGAAACCATCCATAAAAGATAAAACACCAAACCCCGTGGTTGCATCCACTAGTAGTTCAATAATTGGGAGTGAGAACTCATCTTTAGGACATGCATCATTTAGATCCCTGAAATCTATGCAAATGCACACTTGTCCACTTTTTTTCTTAACAGACACAATATTTGCGAGCCAAGTGGGATATCGAACTTCCTGAATAAAACCAACACTTATCAGCTTATCCACTTCGACTTCAATTTGCACAGTTAGTTCTGGCCGAAAACGACGTTGACCTTGCTTTACAGGGCGTTTAACGTCCGATATAGCCAGTCGATGTACTGAAATTTTTGGATCTAATCCTGGCATGTCTTGATCGCCCCAAGCAAAGACGTCCCAATATTCCCGAAGAAGGTGCTCATAATCATTTAATTCTTCCAGAGAAAGTTGAGCACTGACAAAGACGGGCTTAGGATCATCGGCTGTACCAAGATTTATTTCTCTGAGCTCATCAACAATGGCCAGTCCTCCGTCTTCAATTTGAGGAGGTGCTAGTTGAACATTATTTTTGAACTCTAGGTCATCTTCTAGAATGGGATTTCCTTCCTTTTTCGTATCCAAAGAATCTTCTTTTTGATTTTATTTAAAGGAAGCACAATTGACTTGTACAATCCCTTCTAAATTTTGGTCTGCTTTAACTTCCTCAACATTTTTCAAGACAATTCTCCTTTGAATTTTTTGTTTCAGCTTCCATTTCTTGTTCACATTGGACTTTTGGAATGTAGGCTTTGAATAACCTCCAAGCCATTGAAAAACTAAAACTCGAGGCTTTTTGTCACCCTCCTCTTCAGTGAACGTAGCTTGTTCTTTATCAGTGAAAACTATTGCCTCCGAAGGGGAAGTCTTGGGAATGTCATTTTTTGGTGAGTTATGACTTTCTTTTTCCCTTCTTAAAGAAAACTTTACTCTTTTGGGGTCCCAAATTGTATGGAGCTGATGATGAAGGAAAATTCGATGTTCTCTCTTTAAAGAAAACAAATCTCTTTGTCTGACTTTCATCCTCTCCAAATGTGGTTGAAATTAAAATGTCTTGAGGGATTGATTGATTTATCCTTCGAAGAGGACATGTGTAACTTATAGTAAGTGACGATATTGTATCTCGAATTGAAGTCAAAACTTCTTCTTTTAATTTTCCTTTCTTTTTTGGTACATACTTCAAAACAAATCTTTCCTTCGGTGCAATTGAAACCTGACCTTTTTGGACCCTTTTAGGAGTTGTCTTGACTCGGATAACTTTTGAAGCTTTTGATGATTGAGAAATTGATGGTTTGGAGCTACCCTCATTCCTC